GATAATTGTTTTAGGTTATTATTATTAGATATTATATACTATGAATACTGTACTATTAGCATTATTGCTATTATCTATTGTATTATATATCATATATCATTATATTTTGTACTATATATGCTGTACTGTTATTATTGTTATTATTCTATATTCTATACTATAAATACTGTACTATTAGCATTATCATTATTCTATATTATATTCTATACCATATATGCTGTACTATTATTATTATTATTATGATTATGATTATTATTGTTGTTATTCTATATTCTATTCTATAAATTCCGTACTATTAGCATTATTATTATACATTCAATATTCTATTTCTTTTTCTTTTTCTTCTTTTTTTTAATCCTTTTCTGTGTTTTTATCTTATTATTGTATTTCTGGACTGATATGACTGACTATCTATCTATCTATCTATCTATCTATCTATCTATCTATCTATCTATCTATCTATCTATCTATCTATCTATCTATCTATCTATCTATCTATCTATCTATCTATCTATCTATCTATCTATCTATCCCTCCATCCAGATTCTGTGGGGGGGGCTGGATTCTGTCGACTAGAACAGGACGATGCACCAAACGTGAGTCTAAACGGGGTTTAAAGGTTCCCCTCTGGAGCCCCGACCACCATGCCTCCCCCGCCGTGCTGCTGGCTGCTCCCAGCCGTTTCACAGGCGGCCATCTTGGATCCTGAGGCTCCAATGGGGCTCAGAGTCCCAGATCCAGAGGTTTGGGGGGGCTTTAGAGGACCAGAACCATGTTCTTAGAGCAGAGAAATTTAGTTTAACTGGTTTAAAATAGGATCAGAGCCTTTTCTCAGGACTGTTAGTAAACCAGAGCCAAAACGAGGCCGTTTTTCTGCTTTAAACTACAGTTTAAAGCCAAAATGAGGCTGTTTTTCTGCTTTAAACTAAAGTTTAAAGCCAAAATGAGGCTGTCTTTCTGCTTTAAACTAAATTTTAGAGCCAAAACGAGGCCGTTTTTCTGCTTTAAACTAAAGTTTAGAGCCAAAACGAGGCCGTTTTTCTGCTTTAAACTGAGCATTATTTAAAACTAGACT